AAGGTTAAGTGCACATCAAGAAAACATCCCAACCCAGTGCTGCTCAAGCCCACGAGTCCAACGTTAACCCATTAACCCATATGTCCAACACCAATCCACAAAGTCCTCCTCCATCTCACAAAACAGACACAATGATGCTGACTGCAGGAGGAAAGCCGAGTCAGTGAATGTGTAAGCATCTCAGCGCTGGCAGGGGTCTCCACACAGGTGCTTCAGCACCCAGGGCTGCATCGGGGTAGGCCCATGCGGCTTCTCCTTGGGAATGTCTTGCAGGAAGTCAGCCTTGCCAGCTGAAGCAGGAAACTGCTAAGGCAGCTGCACCCTGGTGCGACCATCACAAAGCAAAAGACCCGAGAAAACTAGAAAGGTGAGGCTCACTGAGCCATTTATCCTGCCGCCCTTTAATCACACATGTGTTTATCAGCCAGGTTGGCACAATAAACTAACTCAGTAACATCATGATAAATGGAGAAAACATTGACTTTGTCAAGGATTTGTCTTGCTTGAATCCACAATCAATGTTCATGGAAGCAGCAGTCAAAAGATCAAAAGATGAGTTACATTAGGTAAAATGTTGAACAAGATTTCTTTAGATTTTTGTAAAGCAAGTATGTTACTTTGAGGACTTAGGTGCACCTGACCCCAGCCATAATATTTTCAATTGACTCATACACATGTGAAAGTTGGATATTGAACAAATAAGAATGAAGAAAAATCAATGCGTTTGAGCTGTGGTGCTGGAGAAGAATATCCAAAGTACCATGGACTTCTAAAAGGACAAACCGATCTGTCTCGGAAGAAGTATGACCACAGTGCTCCTTTGAGGCAAGGATGGTGAGACTTTATCTTCTATACTTCGGACGTGTTTCAGGAGAGAACAGTCCCTGAAGAAAGACATCACAGTTTGGTAAACTACAGGGGCAACACAGAAGAGGAAGGGCACTCAAGGAGAGGGATTAGCACTGTGGCTGCAACAATGGGCTCAAGCACAGGAACAATTGTCAGGATGGTGCAAAACTGGGCAGTGTTTTGTTCTGTTGTGTATAAGGTCAGTATGGGTCAGAACCAACTTGGTGGCACCTAGCAACAGCAATACTCATTACGAATGGACTCGAAACTGGTGTAAACGCTATGGAAAGCAGTTTGGTGGTTGCCCAGAGCTCAAACACTTGACTCACTCTAGGCCCATACAGGTTTTTCAAGTTGGATTTTCAGTTCAACTATTAAGCAAAGTTATAAACACAGAGTAGACGTTTTTCAAACTCTGCTGTTCAAGAAGTGGAACGTTCAAGCTTGGGAGCTGTTTGACAACTTGAAATATCACTGCATGTGGCATATTGCCACATGACAAGAAATGAAGTTTTCATACATGCTACAACATGAATGAATAATCTTGGAAAGATTATGTTGAGGAAAGTAAGTCATACACAAAAAACGTATAATATAGTACCACTTACATGAAATATCCACAATAGGCAAATTTGTAGAAACCAAAGTTTCTTAGTGGTTACCAGAGCTGGGTGGGAAGAGAGTGTAGAAAAGTATAACTTAAATGATACTGAGATTCTAGTAAGAGTGATGAAAAAATTATTAATTGGTAGTGGTGATAGTTGTACAATATAGGAAATGAGTTGCTAGTGAATTATACATATAAAATAGTTGAAATGACCAAAAGATTATTTTATGTATATTTCATCACATGAGAAAACAATAAAAAGCAGGAGTGGCTATATTAATAGCACATGAAGCAGATCTCAAAGCAACGATAATTACTACAGACAAAAAGGGCCAGTACATAAGTCAATCCAGGAGAAAAAAATAATAATACTAAATGTGTTCACAGCAAACAACAGAGCTGTAAAATGCATGAAGCAAACACTACAGACTTGAAAGTAGAAATCAGCAAATCAGCCATTACAGTTGGTACTTCAACATTCTATTCTCAGAAACTAAGAGAAACACTTGTCAGAAAACCAGCAAGGATACAGATGACCTCAACAATGTCATCAATTAAGCAGATTTAATTTACATATATGGAAAATGACAACCAGTAAAATGAATATGAACATCTTTTTCAAGTATTCATGTGAATAGTCACCGAGATAGTTAAAATCTGGCCGATAAACACATGTGGTATTAACTGAAGGGCAGAGAGATAAATGGCTGGGTAAACCTCGCCTTTCCAGTTCTCAGGTCTCTTGCTTTGTGATGGTTGGATCAGGGTGCAGCTGCCTTAGCCAGTTCCCTGCTTCAGCTGGCAAGGCTCACTTCCTGTAAGACATCCCTGAGGAGAAGCCACATGGACATACCCTAATACAGCCCTGGGTGCTGGAGCAGCCATGTGGAGACCCGTGCCAGTGCTGAGATGCTTACACATTCACTGATTCGGCTTTCCTCCTGCAGTCGGCATCATTGCGTGTGTTTTGTGAGATGAAGGAGGACTTTGTGGATTGGTGTTGGACATATGGGCTAATGTTGGACTTGTGGGCTTGGGCAGCACTGGGTTGGGATGTTTTCTTGATGTGCACTTACCCTTTATATAAAACTCTCTCTTATACATATGAGTTTCTGTGGATTTGTTTCTCTAATGTACCCAGACTAACACACCAATGATAATCATATCGTGGACATACAACAATTTTCAGCAATTTTTCATAAATAGAAATCTTAGTTTGTTCTCAGACCATAATGAAATCAAAATAATAGAAAGATAACAGAAAAACCTATAACTACTTAGAAACAAAAAAAGCAAAACCCTAAAGATTCAGAGTCAAAAAGGAAGTCTCAAAGAACTGAATGAAAATACAACATAGCAAAAAACATGCAAAAACATTTAAGCACTGAAGAGTGTAAGTTAGATACTATTCAATGCTTACAATAGAAAAGATGAAACAGAAAAGGTTTCAACCAAAAGTCCTACTTCAAGAAACCCAAGGCAAGCAGAAGAAAGGAAATAATGAGAATCAGTGTAGAAATCAATGATATTGAAAATGGAAAAATAATCAGTAAGACAAAAGGTTGATCTTTGAAAGAAAACAACAAAATTGAGACATCTAATAGCAAGAATGAAAGATACAGATCACCAATGTCAGCACTGAAAAGGGATACTGCTACAGATCTGAAGCCATTAGAGGATCATAAGGGAATACTATTATCTCAAATCTCTCAAAATTAAGAGTTTAGTTAAAATTAAATTGATCCTAGATTGTGGTGATAATTTCATAACTCTTCTTGATGTGACTGAACTATTAAATTGTATGCTATGTGAAATATATGCCAATAAAACAAAAATAAATACTCAACAAATATTTTTTGTTTTGTTTTTCAATTTTTTTAAACAGGTTGTTTTATTGGCTTATAATCCACACAGCATACAATTCAATAGTTCAATCATATTACGAAGAGTTGGACAATTATCACAGTTTTTAACAATAGTCTGCCATTCTGATTCTTCAGTTCTATGAAAATGATATCAAGCTGTGATCATTGTACTCTGTGATCTCTGACTGTGAAAGGTATAATTTTCCAGATGCTATTCTGTCCTACTCGTGAGTACCACAAGCTTAAACCAATCTCTTCAATAAGCTTAAAGCAGCAGCTATCATCAGTAACAATGATGATGAAATAGTTAACTTACGCAGTACTAACATGTCTCTGAAGACAAAATGTCCTAGGCTGCTCAGATGGAACCCTCGGCAAAGGAACCCTGAAGTAAAGACCCCAAAAGTTATTGCTGCTGCAACACCAAGTGGGCAGCCCAATACCGGCTATGATAGGTACCAGAGTTGCTGATCTAAAGATAAGAGCATTAACTCATTATAACTAAAAACTTAAGGTCAGAGACAAGGTATTTCAAATGAATAATCGTTCTTTAGTAAATAAAACAAACAAACCAAACTCACTACCTTCGAATCGATGCTGACTCAGCGACTCCCTGGGGGTTTTCTGGACCATGACTGTTTCCGGGAGTCTTTCTCAAGGGGACTGCTAGTGGTTTTGAACTGCCAACCATGAGGATCACAGCAAACTCATAACCTCTACACCACCACAGCTCGTTAGGCTCTCATTTTGGTTTATTTTCTTTGTCCACTATTTTCATTTTTCCTCTTGAGGAACCTATACGGTAATGCAGGCTTCGAAAGTGAAAATCAACTACCGTATATACCCGGGTATAAGCCGAGTTTTTTCAGCACATTTTCTATGCAGTTTTTGTGGTAAAATTACAACAAATGTACAAATGTGCTTGACACAATGGATGGATGGATGGATTGTGATAAGAGTTAGATGAGCCCCCAATAAAATGATTAAAAAAAAGAAAAAGAAAATGTGCTGAGACCTGGAGGAGCCACATGAAGACCAATGCCAGCACTGAGATGCTTCCACCATCACTGTATCCACAGACTATCCATCCACTGATCCGTGATCTTGCATTCAGCCTCATTGCACGTGTTTCGTGAGTCTGAAGAGGACTTTACACATTGATATCAGACACATGAGCTAATATCAGACGTGTGGACTTGATCTGGACTGGACTGGGCTGGGATGTTTTCTCAATATTTAATTGCTTCAGTATATAAAGCTCTTTCTTATGTACCTATGAGTCTCCCAGGATTTGTCTCTCTAGTCTACCCAGACTAGCACAGCTTCTCTTTCAAAATATGAAAACCTTATTCTATACATCTAAAATTCCAAAACTGCTGAAAAACAAATGTTAGATATAAAAATTACCAAAATTCACCTGATTTTTGATAGCCAACTCTTCTTACTTAAAAAAGGAGAAAAAGTAAGATATATGAAATCTGGGGAGGAGATGACTTCCTTAATTTATACCTATTGAATGAACTGGTTGTTAAGTGTTCAGATAGTAGATCTATGCCTCAAAGGAATGGTTTGAACTACAATTAGTAATTATCATGTTTAACTGCAATATAATTAATAATAAATCCAAATTATTAAATTATAAACTTCATTTAAAATAGAAATGAGTAACACATTCCAACCTTTCTGCTTTGGATTCGTTGTCAATTTTGTATTGTTGAAGATCTTGGCTAAGAGACTGTAGCTTTTCTTGAAGTCGCTTTTCACGTTCTACACTTCCTTGATAAAATTTCATCTCCTTTTCCATTGCTTTCACTTTTTCTTCCATAGCCTTAAACTCATGAAGAATGAGGTAGCTGACTCCACAGTACTTACACACTTTCTCTTCTGAAGGCATCTAGAAGATAGAGCATGCGTTTACTGCAACAATTTCTCTTACGTTATGAAAAAGAAAGTTCAACTGAAGATGTTATTGAGACCATGCCAGTTCAATGAAATAAATATGTACTGCACCGTGCAACAGAGGGAGGAGCCCTAGTGGTGTGGGTTATGCGCTAGGCTGCTAGCAGCCAGGATAGCAGTTGGAAACTATCAGTCACTCCGCAGGAGAAGGATGGAGATTTCTAATCCCCAAGCAGTTGGCCTCAGGAGCCCCTAGGGGCACTTTATCTCTATCCTGTAGAATCACTATGAGTTGAACTCAACTGGATGGAAGTGAGTGGGGTTTTTTTGGTTTTATGCCAGGGAGTGATAATTATTGTGCTGCCAACATTGGGATACAATTTTAAAAATTGACACGATTTTGGCTCGGATGCAAAAATCTTGAAATCAGCAAAAGATCTTTCGGAGTACTTATTTTTCCATGGTATCTCAACAAAGATCTGCTTTTTGAAATATTTTCCATAAAATAAAACTGAAAAAATGATAAAAGCATCTCTCCATTTCTATGAGCACTTCCTTGTTTCAGGATCAGCAATTGGCAATGAAAGGGGAAGAAATCACTGGCCTTTTGCTGCCAACTGCTCTGCGCTCCTGGCTTTTTAGATCGTATTTTCCTCATTTGTAAAATTATAGCATTGGGCCAAATAAACCACAAACTCTGTTCAGTTTTAACATTTTATGCTTCTTGCAGAACTCAACTCTCTGTCATAAAACATCAAATAGGAAAAACATTTAGAACCTAATCTCTTTTCCCTCTATCAGTCCTTTTTGCCTTCAGGTACAGGGTGGATTACCCAATATGGAAGATAAGCACAGGCTAACTTGTGCTTACTTAACTAACTTAATTTACTTTACTTTCACATTTCCTCACCACATCAAAGATTCGGCCTCTAGCCACGGCTGGTATTTGTCATGCTCCTAAATCCATGGTCCTCTTTTCAAAACTTCATTTCAAATTCACAACCACTGGCAGAGATAGGGTGCCTAACTTAAGCAAGGCAAACGGGCTGAAAAAGGACAGCATGCTTGGTAAAGTAGAGGAGTACTGAAAAAGAGAAAGAGCCTCATGGAGATGGATTGACACGGTGGCTGCAACAATAGGCTCAAACATAGGGACAAGTGTACGGATGGCACAGGACCATCTGTTGTGCACAGGATCACTATGGGCCAGAATTAACTCGATAGCACCTAGCAACAACACTTACTATGAACCTGTAGTAATACAGTGTGCCCACAAAGCTAGGTAAGGTTCTGGTGAAAAATATGTTCAACTGTTCACTATTGATAAGTAAGTACAAGTAAGCCTGGGTTTACCTTGCTTATTGGGTAGAATTGGAGAAGCCCTGTTAACTGAAAGGTTGGTGGTTCAAACCCATCAGCTACTCCATGGGAGAAGGATGTGGCAGTCTGCTTTCCAATGGGGGAGTTCTACCCTGTCCTACAGCGTCACTAAGAGTCGTCACAGACTTAATGACAATGGTTTGGTTTGGAGAGTTTGGGCTAGGCATAGCTATACCCATTTGATAGGTGAGAAAATTCAAACTTCTGCAGTTATGGATCTAGGACCCCTGGTGGTGTAGTGGTTAAGTGTTGGGCTGCTAACTGCAAGGCCGTTTAAAACCAAGCACTCTGAGGGAGAAAGACGAAGATTTCTACTCCCATAAAATGTTAGTTTCAGAAACCCACAGGGGCAGTTCTATCCTGCCCTATAGGGTTGCTATGAGTCACAGTGGATTCCATGGCCGTGAGGCTTATAATTTATGGGTAGTTTGATATAGCTGATATGTGAAGAATTTGAAATTAAAATTCCAGCCTGTTTCAAACCAGTACCTATATGCCTGCAAGCATTTGTAATTTACCTATCATGTGTATTTCAGCTAAATCCTCTTACTTCCTTTAGATAAACTATTCAGATGACTCTGGGCAGCAACAGGGGCAATAAAAATGGAATTCCAACAAAGTCAGGAGAGAGTTGTTTGTTTTCCTGCCTCAAGCATAAATATTCCTCCAGCAGTTTCTGGTTGTTTTGCTATTTTCAAGTAGCTTTCTTCAGTATTTGCTCAAGCAAATTAAATGGAAAGTGACACTGGAGAATTTAGTAGGTGTGTTTTTTTAATTAATGTTGTGAATTAGATCAAAGTTTACAGAGCAGATCATCAGTTTTATAATCAACAGTTCAGACACATTTTGTTTCAACTCATCCATTACAATCCTCTCAACGTACCATCTCTTCATTCTCCTGGTGTTTGTTTCCATCCCTCCATCTTTGCTAACCCTCAGAACTTTGTCCTTGGGTAAATGCAGCCCTACTGATCTTAAATGAGTTCAGGCCCAGACCTGAAAGGTGACTAAGAGCCATAGTTTTGGGGGTCCCACTGGCATCTATTCAACTAGCAATCCTGGTCTCTTATGATTTGGGGGGTCTGTTCCACATTTTTCTACCACTCTATCCAGACCCTAATGTGAGCCTTTTCAGAGCACTTAGTAGAGGTAGCTGGGCACTCTCTAGTTCTGGTCTCAGGTTTGTAAGGAGGAGGATGTTTGAATGGTCGATTATTCCATTGGACTACTTGTTTCTACGTGACTTCCAGTTATTATCACTCTTCCTTACTCTGGACAGGGAGGGGCCAATCATTGCACCTTAGATGGCTGTTCATGAGTTTTTAAAACCCCAGCCATTACTCACCAAAGTAGGATGTAGAACACCGTCTTGGGAACTACATTTTGCCAATTGGCTTTGGTGTCCCCAGACTATTCTGATCCCTCAGACCAAGCAACTCATTCCCTCACAGTTTTTGCTCATGTCTAAGAAGTTTGCATAACTGTGGCCCCTCTATACTCCACCACATTCATGGACATATTTGCAGCAAAGGCAAATATACACATACAATATCCTCTGTAAAATCTGTATGTAGTCATGGGTATATATCTACTCTCCCTCCCATTTTCTTCAGCCGACATAAAGAGAGTTTAGTCTTAATTTAACTACCCATAAAACCACAGAAACTGCTCCCATGACGTAGAGGGATGCTCTTAATAGCTGCCTATCAGTAACATTATATCAGAGTCAGTGGAACGTATTAGTAACAACCTTCTACAAAGTTTTACTACTTTAAAATGTAAAATGGCCAAACTGAAAGCCATAATACAGTCTATTTTACTTATTAAATGAATGGCTATGCTATCTAATTGACACTCAAACCAAATTTTTCAGATTTATGAGTTTTGAAATAAATCTTAAAATACAACTGGTTCAAGCTTTAGATGGACATTTTAAAATTCTAAGCCCCCCCCTAGATAAGCTGTTATCCACCCTTCACTTTAACAACCACAGGGAAGAGGAATGCTTTTCTAAGGCAGCCTATTTCATTTCTGGTAGTTTTGACTATTAGGAGTTCCTTCTCATCCTGACCTCAAATCTGTCTCCTGGTCCTAGTCTGCCTAGTAACCATGTGGAAAAACTCCAGGCTTGTTTCGCAGAAAGGTCTGTCTAACATTTATAGACAGCTGTGACGCATGCAAGGAGCCCTGATGGCATAATAGTTTACATGTTGGGCTGCTAACCATAAGGTCACCAGTTCAAACCCACCAGCTGCTCTGAAGAAAAAACGAGATGCTTTCTATTCCAGTAAGGTTTACAGCCTCCGAAACCTATATAGGGTCACCATGATTTGGAATCGACTCTACAACAAGGTGATTTTGGGGTTTATAAGGAATATTCCATGTCTTCTCTTCTCAGGTCAACACTTCCAATTCCTTCAGCTGTTTCCCATATGCCATGGTTTTTATTTCTTTCTCATTCTAATTGGAGTCTGTTCTGGTGTTCTTTAATGGTAACCCGAACTGAATACTTCAGTGTGGGTTCACTACAAGAGAAAACAAAGTTCTCTGTTTCCACACTCTGAATATGAAATTTCACTGATTGCAACTTCAGATCACTGGT